AGTCTAGGGAGTCGCCTACGCCTACTCCCTGACCCTAATCCTAACCCTAACCCTAACCATAACCCGAACCATAACCCTAACCCTAATCCTAACCCTAACCATACCAAATAGTGACCAGGGTACGTTTCGGTATACCGGACCGTACCCAGGGTACGTTCCGGCAGTACCCTGGAGGACATAGACCCTATGAGCGCTACCGTTAGTCACGTCAATATACACATATGACCATGTAAATGTCTATACTGCTCACAATGGTAAATTGGTACATGCATGCGTGTACCATTTATATATATGTGTGCATGTCTACGTGTGTATGATCAATGATGTATATTCGGTGGGATTTGCACATAGACTCACTCACTGTGAATAATATTTTAGGCTGGTGGTGCAGCTGGAACTGCAACAGATATATCGTTATTTCCTCTGGACACGATAAAGACGCGTCTGCAGAGCAGTCAGGGATTCTGGAAGTCGGGTGGCTTTAAACGATTGTATGCCGGTCTCGGACCAGCTGCACTCGGCTCTCTCCCTACAGGTCAGTCCTGGTGGTGCCACATTTTTTGTGTTGCCAGATCGATAGGTTCAATTGATGCTATGTAAATGGTATATGTCTGTAAACTACTGGTACTGGTGCGCCAAAGTTCTAACCCATGCAGTCGGTTTTGTTATTTTCACACGGCTGGTCAGATTGTAAAAAACGGTTGGCTGGAAATTGGAATTGGAAGGATTTGATAATGATTGAACAGTTTTGTACATTTTACAATTGATGCATGTTAACCATTTAGGAAATTTTCTTTAAGACTCGAATCTTTCACTTTGAGCATGGTTCTATCAGTGGTAGGTCCAGGATTTCAAGGAGGGGGTAAAAAAAGGCAGGGAGTATGGGTGTCTCCCCCAGATATTTTTGAAAATGTAGATCACAGGAGATGGTATTTGAGGCACTTTTGAGTACACGTACAGCCTTCATTCGGACTACGGCAATTCTCTTTTTAGTAGAACAATTCTTGCGCTTGCAGCGCGGCATTGATTGCTGTACAAGGGGGGGGGGGGAGGCATGGGTTGATCACTGCTGGGATGAGGGTGACAGCAAAACTCTTTCTTGGAATTGTGAAAAAAGCTGCAAAACGGTTGTAACCTGCTTTGCCACTCAATTACATATAATTTAACGCATGCATCAGGTGCCGTTTTGTACAGCCGCGCGACTATTATACTTAGCAATAATTAATCGGTATATGTGTAAAATTCATGTTAGTCCAACAGAGGGGGGACGGGTGGCTAAGTGTCCCCATGTGCTCATTCAATGTTGAGTTCGTACACCGGTTGCAGGATCAAATCTGCCTCCCCCCCCCCCATTCACACGCATGCATACTTTTTACATATACTATATGCACAGCATGAAAGTATATGAGATGAACTCAATTCTGTGCCCAATGGTCAGGTTGGGTAAATACAGAGAGCATGAGTCATATACAACATTACGAAATACACTAACGTGATTGCATCCTGATTTTTCGCCATTGTAGCATCAGCATTCTTCTGCACGTATGAAACGGTGAAAGCATTGTCGAGTCTCGTTTTGCCGGAACGGTATATGGCCATGGGTCACTCATCTGCAGCGTCTTGCGGTGAAGTGGTAGGTACTTGCGTAGATACATGATGTAAACCTGCACAGACTGCAGGTTTTGTCTGCAGGGTCGAGTTATGCTATCTGTGTGCTGTATGTGATGCAATCTCGTTCTGTATCCCATATGAGCTTTATATGGCTGTTATGGGATTCTGTACCATGTAACCAGAGTTACCAGACCGTCGCACCTGTCTGTGTGAATTTCTTCTTTCTCGAGAAAAAAGTCTACCTGTGTAAATTCCCAGCATGCAGATGTCATCATCCTAGCATATCAAATCTTAGAGATATAGAGAATAAGATAAAAGCTAATAATAGCTTATTAGTAGGGTATATATATATATATATATATATATATATATACAAATGCTGACAAAGATACACGTGAATATCAGGGTTCCAAATAAACATCAGCTGTACACTCCAGAGCGGGGTCTCACAGACTTTACCATATTTTTTCTGAAAACATTCCAAGAAAGTAATTTGGCAGACGTGCAAGCGCACATATTTAGTAACACGCATACATGTGTAATCAACCCTTGTTACAGATAGCCAGCTTGTGTCACACTTCCCGCTGGCACGTGCGTATGAAATGGTGGGGTGCTATATTGATAATTGTGGGAGCAGGCACCTGATTGTTTCATTTCGGCAGCGTGAAATGTGATATCGCGTGTTGAAAAGTATTTAGAAAAAACTAATGCCGCAGATTTGGGCCTGTTCTTTTGGGGGTAAGAAATTATAGTGCATGCCATTCTCTGCCGTGCATCAACTTCTGATTAACAACAACATTACTAATATGCAGTATCGAATAATGACAGTATCCTGACAATTATAATGTATGCTGCCGTTCAAAGTTCCAGTGCAGAATAGTCATTTGTTTCTGCAACAGGAGAGTATGCACTGTCCAGTGGCGGATCCAGAAGTGAATTCTAAGTGGGGGGGGGGAAGGGGCAATTCAAATCATGCAAGCTCAAGTGCACGAAGCGCCCGAGGAGGGAGGGTGTTAGGCTAAAATACTCAAAATTCCAAGGGGTGGGGACGACCACCCCTTGTGCCCCCCCCCTGGATCCACCACTGCTGTCGTTCCAACAGAAGATAACAACATATAAATATCATACTCATCCAAACACAGTAGTATATAGAAGTCCATCTAAATGTCTTTGTATTATGCCATTTGTATGATTTAACTGTAGGCAGCTGAACACAAGAACTTCTCGCTCGCAGGTTGCCTGTCTCATCAGGGTTCCAGTTGAGGTGGTGAAGCAAAGGGCCCAAGCTCTGCACATACCTAGCATGCAAATACTGAGAGCAACTCTCAGAAATGAGGTGATTATAGACATCTGGAAAATGTCATCAAACTTCACTTCTATATTATTATCGCATGTTGTTAGTGTCAATGTTCGCAATCTTACGTCTTCTTGTTGTTTAATGGCATAGATTCTTTTACATGTGAATGTTGTCGGTTGTGATGTTTAATCATCTGTCCATTACTGTCTGGTGAATATTTATAGGGATTCGGAGGTTTGTATCGAGGTTATTGGAGCACCGTCATACGAGAGGTACCCTTCTCTTTCATACAGTTCCCTATCTGGGAGCTAATGAAGGTAGGTTGTATGCAGTTGTACCTGCCAAAATTTACCCATTAAAGTTGATCAACCTCGCAGCTAAATGCATATATATATACCTACTGTGAGCTTGCATATGTTGCAAAAATTCACTACAACTCATTTGTATTGCTACTTTCATAACATTTCTTCTCAAAATCTAAACGAAATTACTTCTCTTACGAACGTAGCGACACAGCGGAACGATCTACTTGATTCAGTAACAGTTCCTTTCTATGATAAAACAAGTTATAATTCATTATTTGATGTTTATTCAGTACAAAATTGGGAAATTTTTTAAAATCATATATAGTTATCTATTATGACTATATATTACTTATGCAACCAGGAAACAAATATAGTGTTCCAGGAACTATTTGCGCTATGGCGTATATGGATACTATTTTGCGTTATCTAGCACTTCGTACAAATAACTTGCGTCTGACATAAAAGTTGACATAATAGTCAACTTCGGAGCACATTTCTGGCTCAATGAGAACATTTCGTAATGTTTGCATACTGCAAGTATGCTCACAGTAGGTATATATAGGCTTTTTGTTGCGAGGTCTATCCGTTTTAATTTGTTATGATTCTTATTCATTTGCCATCGATGACATGTGTGATGAGCAGACATTTAAATTTTTAACATGATATAGTACAACACCATGATTACATGAAAATGTCTACAGTGATAAATAATGATTACGTCCTGTACTCATTGTATTTCACACGCGACACCTAGCCGAATAAATCTAATTTGACTTGCCTTCATACATCTCAATGTCATTTCAAGGCATAATTGTCATGATATCACATTAAATTCAGTATGAAATTAAATTCAGTATGAAATTAATACACAATTAATTCTGTCTTCCTGCCATCTATCGGCACAAAGTGAGGAAAACCACATCTACCAAATTGAGTAATTTGTTAATTAAAATACTTCTCATGTATTGCATCAAGCATCTACACCATATATGTGCACAAAACTCAATAACCTGCTCAGTGTATGTGTCATCGATAGAAACGTAAAATAAGCACTTGGTTGGAGCTAAAGGGCTGGGAACTTCAGACATAAAGTGTAAAAGAATTCTCCCTTTTGCTAGTAAAGCACATAAAATGAAATAAATATAATTGAAATGGCCACTTTTTAGTATGGTTAAACACCAAACCAAACGGCCATTAAATTCTTCAATGAAGGATTGGGGACCTTGTCACATTTTCACTACCTCTTACAGCCCGGTATATAAGTAGAGATGAGAATTATGATAGCCATCGGGACTCCACCACAGTAGTGGAATGAACACCCAGCGACCTGTCTCCGAATCGACATGTTCTTGTCACACAGGTAGAGTGGGCGGCGTACCAGGGCAGTGAGGTGACACCATGGGAGTCGGCCGTGTGTGGGTCACTGTCTGGCGGTATCTCGGCTGCGGTGACCACGCCGCTGGACGTCGTGAAGACTCGCATCATGCTGGCTGAGGTAGGTCCCAAGTACTGCTGCTGCTGCTGCTGCTGCTGCTGCTGGTGGTGGTGCTGCTGCTACTGGTGCTGCTGCTACTGGTGGTGGTGGTGGTGGTGGTGCTGCTGCTGCTGCTGCTGCTCCTGCTACTGCTGCTGGTGGTGATGCTGCTGCTGCTGCTGCTGCTACTGCTGGTGGTGGTGCTGCTGGTGGAGCTGCTGCTGCTGCTGCTGCTACTGATGGTGCTGCTGCTACTGCTACTGCTTCTGCTGCTGCTGCTGCTACTGATGGTGCTGCTGCTACTGCTACTGCTTCTGCTGCTGGCTGCTGCTACTGATGGTGCTATCTACGCGCTGCTCTCCTTTACAGCTATTGCTTTATGCTTACCTACAAACCAAATTATAATATTTTTACAAATTATTTTTTTCATGTGGATTTATCAGAATTGCCCATTGTGTACGAATTATCAGATTTCCTTTTTCACCTATCCCTCTCCAGGGCCCTAGCTAGGATTTTTTCTCCTGTAGCCAAACAAATAGCCAGAATCAACTGTCATTAGCCAATTTGGATTCCTGTTAGCCACATCTGTAGCCTAACATTTTCTGAACACAAAAAGGCGATAAATAATTTTTAATTT